TCCCTGTGACGTGTACGAAAACTTTTTTCCCCAGAATCTAACATACATATATATAAGTCTACCCATTTGTCTTAGAATATTACTGCCACACATGGTCTGTTGTCACTGCTTCTTGAGCTCTTTGATAAAATTCAAAGAACCAGCAATATTATCGGTCAGCATCTGGCGGCTTGGATTCAGTACCAATCTCTGCAATGTTGCCGATCTGTCTCTTTTTTATAAATACATTTATGGTAAATGTTTAGATGAGCTCTTAGTTATGGTGCATAGACTTTTTAAATTTAAGCAAAGTAGTAGACTTTCGTTGAGATCTCATCAATAAACAGTTAGGCTGGCTATGTGTAGCCGTAAATTCTATGCTAACAGCATCTTTTCTCAGACCTCTTGCTTGTGGAACACCTTACATGTAATGCCTATCACTATTTAATCTCTTCTTGATTACTATTTTCTATTTCCGCTCATTATTAATACTTCTCTTCCTAATTCTTCCACATACTGTAAAACTTTGTGTCTTGCTGGTTTTACTACCTTGCTTAGGAATAAACTGATTATAAACAAAAATAAAATATAACGAAAAACACATCAGTTGAGGACGAGTAAAAACAACGGCATCAACTAAAACGGATATTACATGTAATTCGAAGAGAAAATAATAACATAGTCAAGGTGTTAGCATTCCACACAGATTAAAATGGAAACCACCATCCATTCTAGAAAGTTCGATAACAATTACTGGACTTGAGAAATCTGTTTTCTTAAATTCTTTTACGAGAAAGACTTTATAAATTTCAACCGAAAACTAGACAGACTACTTTGTCAATGGATGTCGAATCATCCCTCAGGGAAACGGCTAAAATTACTATTACCAAAAGATCTCTGCTCATTATACTATCTTTCAATATTCTGGACTCATACTCCCTCATATTTTGATCATTTCAATGCTTACTCTAAAATGCAAGCAAACCAGAGCTCACCTGAAGTTTTCACAGAAAGTTTTAATAGTGATTCTTCTGAAAGTTTTGATGAAAGAATCATTCATTTTATAAATTACAACGGAACCCATTACTGATTTTTTCTGCTTTATCTCTAAGATTGCTATTAATTGTAATGATATATTGAATTACTATGCTCATATCCATGAGTCATTTCCACGAACATTCATTAATTTCTAAGAATATTTGCTGCAGTTTCCTTCCTTCCAAAAACAGAAATCAATATTTTTAATATTATATATTTGTCGGGAGAGACAGAAGGATTAAAAGAGCATTAATAAGAGACAATACCGCCTCCCTACCCCTCAATTTTTTCGCAACATAATGGCTTATCGATAAAGAGAAAACACTCAGAAATATGACTCATCCATTTAAAATTAAATTAATTTATCGACATTAAAAGTTTAAGTATCTTTACATTTTCATGTCGATAAAATATTTATCTAAATATGCATCCGTTATATATCTTGAACCCTTAGCGTCGGATTTAATTTTTTTTTAATAACAAATGAATAATATTTAAAGCCATTGATCTTGCTGTTTCTTATTCCAAATTCTCGGGATTACATAAGCTTTGGGTTTTTTGTGGCTCAGATGTGTATAGGCCTGATAAAATTGCATAGATAATAAAAGCGAAAAATCAATTCATATGTCAAACTTAGTTGTCACCTAGGTCTGTTACGAATTGAGACAATCTTTAAAGTGAAGATGACAACGTCTTTCACTGATTATATTCTCTCTCAATGAATGTCAATGCTAAGTATATCATAACAAAGTTAGTATTCAACATTAAAATTCTGCTCAGCATAGGAAAAACCATTCACATCATCATAGAAGAAATAGTAAGATTTAATAAAAGAAAGTTGTAATTTCTTAATCAAGAAGAATATTTTTTTTAATTTAATTATACATTAGATCGATTAAGGACACAGTAGAAACAAATATTTAAGGAAAAATTCTAAGTTAATTATTGAAATGTCCAACATTTATATAATTTCAAGAGCAATATTCTTACTTCAGTGATGTCCCTTTTCAAAAATAGCAGCAAGTTATCTGTTCATGAAGCCTACATAAGGCAGTTTAATCATGTATTAGATCAGGGGATTTAGACATAAAATCGAAGTAAGCTGTGATGTGAAGTGAACTGGCAAATGTCACGTTTCTCAGACAGCCGGCAAAAAAGTAGGAGATTGAAAAAATCTGCATGAATTAAATAAATTAGAGTAAGATGGCTGTGTATCTGACACAGCCGAAAACAAGTAGTTATTCAAGTGCTGGTTTTCAACACTTAGAAAATACTCGTAACAGGCATTTCTTACAAAGATTTCCACACTTTTAATGCATTAACATTCAACTCTCAACTTAATAATTGTCAAAAGAAATAAAGTAATAAAGTGAAAGGTAGATAAGGAGTGACTGTCAATTAAAATATCGATCTCTAAACGCAGTCAAGGAAATATTTTAGTTTAAGTTAACAAGGAGAGGTTTGTCAGTGCCCGTACAGCTACATAAAAAAAGGGAATAGACTTTTCTCATGTATTTACAAAAAAAAAAAAAAAAAGATTCAGCTCGAAATTAAGAAGTAGATAGTAGATTAACGAAAAAAGATAATCGAAGTACAAAACATTTTGGTACGGATTAACTCACAGGTAACTGAATTAGTTATACAGAAGATATAGAAACATACCATTGCAAAAGATTTAACATATGTACAAGCAGAAACTAACTAAACAAAGAGGAAAATCATATCCACGAGAATGGTGGAACATCAAATCACGAAATGTTTATGTTACCATTGCAAATGCAATACATTTGTTTATATTGACATCTTGGCCTGAAGAAGACATATATTTCATGTTTATTATTTTGATCATTTCCGCTGATGGGCATCTAGTGTATGGGCAAACGGTGCGTAAAGTCGGTGAGGCGAGTTCAAAATCAGGTCATGTGACTTTTATTCCCTTTCTCAGTAATAAACATGATGTGGTCGTGGTTCTCTATGGGTTAAATAGCTAGTTAGAGTAGGCTTTCTAGGCTTGGCTGCTCGCCAGTCTACAACAAGAAAAAAATTATGTTAAAAAATACAGTGCGACTATTTCAAATATGTCAAATAAAATAATATTTGATGCAATAAAAGTTATGTTCCGGAAGACAATATGGGTATAATTGACAGAAAAGAGGAAAAAGAGAGAGAAAATATTTTAAAAATTCAATAAGGAGTGAGATTAAAGCGAAAAAATAAACGACAAAAATGTCAAATAACCACGGCATTCTTGAGGTAAGCCCATACGTGCAGGTTGGCTCACATACACGAACGCACACATAAACTGGTACCAGCAAAAAGTGCATATAAAAAGAAAAATCGAGAACTAAGCAGTCAATTTCAGGTATCTTTGACGAGTGAATAGAATGATTCCCAAAATTTACGTGTATGAAAACTTGGAATCAGGATGTTAAAGGAAAGACCAATCAGCTAAGTGGCAAATATTTTATTTGTATTAATTTTATATATATATATATATATATATATATATATATATATATATATATATATATATATATATATATATATATATATAGAAATTCAAACGAATGTGATTCCAATTATTAATAATAATAAAATTGTTATTAGACTAATAAAGAATCTTCCTGGAGAATATACATTTAGGTTTTCCATTTGCCACTACCCACTACACAGGTGATAAATTGTCCGCGTGTATATATTAATAAAAACAAAGCTAATACATTTTTACCGACGCGTTTTGCACTCAGCAGGAATTTATATACAAGAGCAAGATGTGATTAATTTCTCAAATTTTTAAAATATAAGAACGCTCCTAAATATGCATCAAGCTGGTTGAAATGTCATGAAAGCTACGTAGTGACACAATCCATTGTCTAATATTCGAAAGCGTATAATTTATGTTCTTGAAATCTTTATCCAAATTAGTAATTACAATATTTAGTTAGAATTAGCATTAATTCATACGATATATATTTAAAATAACATGAGTTTATGAATTTAACATTTATACCTACATATATATATATATATATATATATATATATATATATATATATATATATATATATATATATATATATATTTGTGTGTGTGTGTCTCAACAGCTGTTGTCATGCGTATAATGTGGTAGTATGTAGTGGTAGTGCTTGTCGCCTCTCGCTTTCAGTTAACGCCGCTGGCTAGCAGAAATGTGAAAAGAGGAGCGAGCGTGTACGTCATTCCCTTCTAATATATAGCCTCTCCACCAGCAAGCTCTATGTAGTGCCTCCTCGTTGTGATACATGGCAATCGAGCACCTTGCGGAATCGGGCTAAACTACAGGGGACGGCGGAGGAGTTGGCCCCCTTAACATGCGGCATACAGGCCCACCGGTGTGTGGACATGCCCTGGGGCCCATAAACCGAACCCCAGCTATGTGGTAAATAGCTCAACTGTCTTGTGGAAATCTTCGGGAAAAGGAAAGGCCAAGGAGTAAACCCTACACAAAACTTGAGTGGAGCTCCTTAGGCGAATGGACGTCACTCTGTGCTACCTTCTCTGTGCTAGGCAACTCCTACTGCTGAACTTGTACCAGACTGTATTGGTTTATCCTCTCCTTTGGACACTGCTAGCAAGGTCGAGAGTTGAAACTAGACGTCCGGGCACACCTAGTTCTCCATACTTCCCACAAAGACTCGTAGCGCACTGGAGAGGACACTCCAGCGATGTCGCAAGACATTGTCACAAAACGGGAACAGACAGTTATCGGTCAAAAGCCCAAACCGATTGGCTTAGGCTACGGGTCCCTGGGATCATCGCGTCACACTGGACAGCTACCCCTGACAAGCTAGGCAGCCCCAGACAGTCCCGCCACACTTTGCATGCGCTACTGAGTGTGTAGGTCTAAGAGACTGATCCTTCTGACAAGCATGCTGTAAAACCCGCACCAAGCAGAAAAGAAAGAAACACGAAGACTCCAGCTGTTCGATTTGCTTGCTGAAACCATGCGACCTGGATTCGCAGATGACATCCAACAGATGCTCGAAAGACCGCAGTCATTGACAGGAAACTCTCAAGGTTGGGCATTGACGTCGCCTGCCTGCAAGAGACTCGTCTGGATAACAGCAGTTCCACCTTCTTCTGGCAGGGCCTGCCTCAAGATGACCCAAGGCAACACGGCGTAGGCTTCGCTGTGAAGAACTCACTGATGCCAGCCATTGAACCACCAACAGGCGGATCTGAGGGAAACCTAGCAATTGGGCATCTCAACATCTACAACGTCCTCTGCATCTATGCACCAACGCTCTGCGCCACCCCAGAGGTCAGGAACCAGTCTATGAGGTACTGGATGAGACGATATCCGGGAAGCCAAATACTGAAAGATTATACCTACTAGGTGATTTCAATACCAGAGTGGGAACCGACTGTGACAATTGGCCCTCTTGCCTCGGTCGTCAGGGCATAGACAAAATGAATTAGAATGGACAGCGGCTGCTGGAACTCTGCTACCACTACGGACTGTGCGTGACAAACACTTATTCTAAGTGCAAAAGGCGCCGCAATGTCTCTTGGAGACACCCCCGCTCTCGACACTGGCATCAGCTCGGCCTTGTCATCACCAGGCGTGCAGCTAACACTCGGAGCTTCTACAGCGCAGACTGCGGCAGGGACCGCTCCCTAGTAGGCTGCAAAGCGAGACTGACAGCCAAGAAAATACACCACTTCAAAACCAAGGGCCTCCCTCGTACCAGCACCTGTCGCTCCAATGACCGTGAGAGCTCTCGCCGCTTCCAAACCAACTTTAGCGCGAAGCTCGACACCTCCTCCTTCAGACCACTGACATCGACAGTAGATCGCACAACCTCCGTGATGCCATATACACCTCAACCTTTATTGCGTTTGGGAAGAAGAATCGTCGAATGGGGACTGGTACCAAGCTCACTGGGATGAGATGCACCCAGCCTCTGAAACCAAGAGACAAGCATTTCTGGCCTACAAGCAAAACCCGTGCATCAGTAACCACGATGCCCTCAGAGCTGCTCGCAGCAAAGCCCAACAGACTGCACGCCGCTTCAACAACGACTACTGCCTGAACATGTGCAGTAGGATTCAGACGGCTGCCGACAGTGGGTACGCAAGAGGCATGTATTTCTGCATCAAAACAGCAACCGGCCCCACTTCCATAACAACGGCTCCGCTGAAGTCCAAGGCAGGAGAGCTCATTACAGACCAGGGCAAGCAGCTAGATCGCTGGGTGCAGAACTACCTGGAGCGGTATGCAACCCAGAACGTGGTGATGGATGCCGCCCTGGATGCCTTGCTCTGTCTCCCTGTCATAGACGAGTTGGATGTCCCGGCCTCTGCAGAGGAACTCGGAAAAGCTATCGACTGTCTCTCCTTCGGGAGGGCCCCTGGAACGAACTGAATCCCATCGGGGGTTCTGAAGAGTGGCAAGCCAGCTCAGCTGCAGCATCTCCACGAGCTCCTGAACCTGTGCTTGGAGAAGGGCCACGTCCCCCGGGACAGGCAAGATGCCAATATTGTCACCCTTTCTAAGAATAAAAGTAACCGCAGCGACTGCAATAACGACCGCGGCATAACCCTCCTCAGCATCGTCGGGAAAGACTTTGCCCGCGTCGTTTTCCCACGTCTACAGAACCTCGCCTCACGTGTGTACCTCGAGTCGCAGTGTGGCTTCAGGCCGGACCGATCTACAGTGGAAATGATCTCGCTGAACCAGCTGCAGGAGAAGTGCTGTGAGCAACAAAAACCAATGTATATCGCCTTTATTGAATGGACGAAAGCCTTCGACTCAGTCAGCAGAAGTTGACTCTTCAGCCTCCTGGAGAAGAGGCTAGGATGTCTCCAAAGACTGCTCTGGATGGTCAGGTCCTTCCACGAGGACATTCGCAGTACAGTCTACTTCAACGGCGGAGCATCCGACGCCTTCCCTGTGAGCAGCGGCGTAAAGCAGGGCTGCGTCCTCGCGCCGACAATCATTGGAATCTTCTTCTCGATTCTTCTCCTGTACGCCTTCTGCGACTGTACCATCAGCCTCAAAAAGACCAACACCCTGGCACAAGACACTGCCTCCTCTCCGGACGTTGCCATCAACGGCACGCACATCAAGGTAGTGGACTCCTCCACCTACCTCGGTCGATCATCACCAGCTCCCTCTCCCTGGACAAGTGAGATAAGCTCCATGTTAAGGAAAGCCGCCGCAGTCATGGCCAAGCTAAACAAGCGCGTTTGGAACAACAGCCAGATGACGGAGAACACCAAACAACAAGTCTACCGGGCATGTGTCCTTAAAACCCTTCTGTATGACAGCGAATCCTGAACAACTTACGCCAGTCAGAAGAGGTTAAACACCTTTCACATCCGCTGCCTCAGACGTCTCCTGCACATTAAGTGGCAAGACAAGGTCACTAACACAGAAGTCCTCCAACGTGCCGGCATCCTCATCCTGTTCACGCTGCTCTGCCAAAGACATCTCAGATGGCTGAGGCACGTACGCCGCATGGAATCCGGCCGCATCCCAAGAGTCATCATGTACGGGGAGCTGTGTATGGGGTCCCGCCCAACTAGAAGACATCAGCTCCGCTTCAAGGATGTCTGCAAACGAGACATGAGGCTTGCCGACATCGACCCCAACACCTGGGAACCCGGGTCGTCAGGTTTGGAGAGCCACAGACAGTGACGTCGTCACGATTGCAGAATCCGCGAGGGAAGATCAGCAAACAGCAAATAGAGCCAGAAGAAAAGCAAGCCTCCGTCTCTGTGACATGAAGTTTATCTGTGCCAAGTAGCTGAGAGACTACCGCTCCCTGTGGGATTGCACAGTCATCAGAGGCGATGTAACTCCATCGCCTAGAATTTAAAAAAAAAGAAAAGAAAAAAAAGCCCTACTCCATCGTCGCCCGAGACGGACGGATACCGAACCAATATATATATATATATATATATATATATATATATATATATATATAGAGAGAGAGAGAGAGAGAGAGAGATGCGTGAGCGTATTTGGCTAGCAAACCCTCTTTATACAGGTTTCCATGGTCTTGTCAGACTATTTTAATGACACACACACACACACACACACACACACACACACACACATATATATATATATATATATATATATATATATATATATATATATATATATATATATATATAATTTACCCCTTGGCATTGTTTTGTCAACTGCACAGCAAATTATGGTCAGTTGGTCAACGTCTGTGAGAAAAAAGAGCACCATGACGCAATTCACTCCTCCAGAAATTTGAAAGCTGTATGATATAATGCTTGTCATTCGCACCGTAGGCTCCAATACAAATATTTCAGAGTGTTTGGTTGTCTGAAAGAGTTCGATGACATCATCAGTCATGGCGATGTTATCCAACAGTAAGACTCTATACGCATTAGGTGCATTGAATAGATAGTGTTTCTTTGCGGCAAGATGTTAGCTGCTGCACGACTCTGTCTGGCAAGAAGTCTCTGCACTATGCCACACAAGCAGGAGAACCCAGTCATGCCTGTCAGATAATTTCTGTGGCCAAATCAATATTGTGAATATTACGCAAATATCAACTGTGCTTGAAAAGACTGAAAACGCCAACTGATCAGATAGAAATGTAAAAGTTTTATTTGGTGTGTTTTTAACTATATGCTAAATGCCTCTGTGATAACTTTAATTTGGATGTAATTGCATAATTTTCATCTGGAAGTGTGTGATAAAAAGTAGAATTTATTTGAAATGTCATTATAAAATACAAGGAAAATAGCCGAAAGAGGGATTATCCGAAATACTGCACTAAACAGTTGTTATAATCGCTAACTGCTACGATGAGAGCGTGATACAATGATCTTTTGTAGCAAATAAGTATCTACGCCTATGTGTTATATACAACCATATACTTAAATAAACACTTAGTAGAAATTCTTAGAAATTACAAAATATGTCTGCTATAAGGATAATTTAATTACGTCGATAATCTTCTTCAGAGGAATATTAGTAAGCATGGAACAAGTAAATTTGCATAAAACAACCAAATATCGTTGGTACAAGTGAAACAATTAGTATTCAGCAAATTTGGAGTGAAAATAAATGAAAATAAGAATGAAACATGTGAAAAAAATCTTATGCTACGATATTAAACAGAGAAGAAAAATAAGTATGAATAATATTGACTACATGCATAAATGCAGCGAACGTAGACATAGAACAAATACTTTTAAAGAGAAAGAAAATTAGTGAAAATAATTTCTAGCAGTAATTTACTGTTGTCTGTGCAAATTGACATTGAATAAAGATTCTTGGAAATAAAAACCCCAAACAAATTACAAATAAAAAATGAGTGATATATATATATATATATATATATATATATATATATATATATATATATATATATATATATATATATATATATATATATGAGACAGACAGTGTGATGTATATATATCTCTTTAAATTTTTGGGTCGTCGCAAGGAAATGATTTGAATATATTTCTTTTTTAAAAGAATTGGTTTATAATGTGGTACAACTGTTACAAAAGACTTAAAGATATTTTTTTAAATCTGTGCAATTCAAAACTTCTTCATATTCTGGTAAACCGATTCTTGTCATCTTAGCTCAGATATGTTTTTCCAACTTCCTTGATATTTCCACATCAACTCCAGATATTAATCAAATATAAAACTATTATTCTATCATTAAACTTATCTAAATGAAAAAGGAAACCCTTTAGAAATAAAGAAAAACGACTCCGGATAATCTTAAATTAGGACCGATGGAATTGTTATAAAAATGAATGAAATATTAGTTTAGTTATTTTTGAATGTCAAAGGTCAATGTACTCATGTGAAATGATAGAATATATTTTTTTCATTTACATTGGTATTGTATTGTTGAAAATCTGTATATTTAATTACAGTAATATATTTAGATTATGATCTATATAAATATACAATTTGTTCCTTTCTTCTGCATATTACACGATTCCCCAAAATTAATTTATTATCAGTATGTTTTTACTAAAGATAAATAATATAAAATAAAAACAATATATTTTGCTTAATTTTACATGGCGCTTTCCTGGAAGATTTACACAAAGCGGTCAACTGTTATGAACATGATGTAATAACATTGATTTACATAATAAAATCTAACCCAGCATAAGGATATTCCCTAGAAATTATTTTCACACAATTTAACAACCTTAAATACAGTCAAACAACACGGAATAAAGCTAATCGTCGGCCATAAGTTCCATATAAGACAATAATATGGAAATGCTTAATGGCATATTATTTATCTGGCCGCATTATTTATATATATATATATATATATATATATATATATATATATATATATATATATATATATATATATATATATGGTTGGATTGATGTGAATATGTTAGCTCTATCTCTGATATTGACCGCTTTCTAATAAGTACCGCGCATATAATATATAAATGATTATATATATATATATATATATATATATATATATATATATATATATATATATATATATATATATATATATATATATTTATTTATATTTATATACACACACTTTTCACAAACACACACACACACACACATATATATATATATATATATATATATATATATATATATATATTTCCCTATATAAATTCATTCGGAAGTTTTCAGGCATATAAACAACGGAGCCTTTGGAATGCAAGTCAAATTTAACATTGGGTGGACATATGTTTCGATAGTTTGGTGCGACAAATATAGTTTAAATTGTCGCTTGCAAACAGGTCTTAATACGATAAAACAGAACTGAAGATTGTAAGTAATTTTTTTCATTTTCCTCTTCTATGTGCCGAAACTATTCAAATAGTCTGTGATCATTGTTCCAACACTATCTAATATCTTGTGGCTATTACCAAAGATTGGCATTTTACGAGGATAGGCCCAAAATTATTCGCAGTTTTGCTATAATATATATTAATGTCTGTCGCACTGGCTTTTCTCATACTTGCTTATAGTTGGTACCATTGTGGTCACGGTTTGGAGTTTGAGCTTAATGGTGCCAGTTCTCTTGCTGCTCTCAGTGTAAACATGACCGCTCCCATAGCAGTGTATACGAAGGAGGAACAATGAGAAATTTTTTAATTCAAATACATACATGCATTCATATATATATATATATATATATATATATATATATATATATATAACATAAATTTTATGTCAGAGAATATATACAGAGATTTTATAATGCAGGATGTCATTCTTTCTTTAGAGATCTCTCTCGACCAACACATCAGAAGAATACGTTGGTAATCTTAATGACAAAAAGAAACTCGTACTGCCAGATAATATGAGGAGTAGAAAAATGAAAGACGAATAAAATAAAAATTTATTAATAAAACTAGGGT